GGCTTCCATAGCTGGTCTTCCCAGCGCAGTCAAGATGTAATTCGCTTATTTAGAAACGACAACGGACCTCACATGCTCACCTGGACACCAGGATCCAAGTAACGGATGTTAATATTTCAGGACCTATTGTTCTCCTTGAGCACAAGGTCGATGGATCGTTTACGAACCCTAGCCGTAATTCGGCCGGAAAGTCTATCAAGATTGAAATAATATAGAATGATACGTATCCGTTGTCCGTTTTTAACTTCGAAGATCGTCCAAAATGGTAGCTTTGACTCCAGCAAAGGCGGAGAAGGAACGGGGGAGTCAGAAACTCGGCTGGTATTACTGGGTATAACACGTTTTTGGAATGTTGAAAAGAAGCATTGGCGAGTCAGTGAGGTAAGGCGTTCGTTTGCTTGGTGTGAAAATGAAACGGATATTTGCAATAGTTTGCGATGCCAGTGCAATTTACGGACAGATCCCAGAGGCAATGTAGCCATCTTGTTCCATGCCCGGGGCAGGCATTCTGCTCGCCGTGTCCGCATGTTCCGCGAATAGCAACCAATTCGCATTCGAACAGCGGAATATCCCCAAGCTGAAGGTGTATGTCGGCGTCAGTAGTTGTCAAACCTAACGCCACGCGAAACAATGGACAAAAAAGGACAAGAAAAAAAGGGCATGCTACAGCTCCTCCCGGAACTCGACCCTGGCGGCGTCGAGGCCCGCCCGACGTAGTGATGTCAACACACGGCCAATGGGGTAGGAAACCGGGTGTTGGTGACAGGAGAGAGGGCGGGAGAATATACGTTCTGGCAAGCGGTCATAGACAAGCGTCCGGGTAGAGCCGACAGCAACGGATTTGTCGGTGCCAAATGGGAAATGGACTTTGATTGCCTTCTCCCACATAGACATGAAACCGTTTTTGTTTACAACCGTTTCCGGTACGTTTGTGCGTATTCGTACAAGGCTGTGTGACCGAACTCCCTCCGCGACTCGGAAAATGACCTGGCAGCCTCAGACAGGAGCGCTTCTACAGCGGTTCTACGAATCTCCAGATGTCAGCCACTTCTCCCCGTCAAGTATATATACGGCCTGAGGTAATGGCACACTCAGTCCACTCCCTCCCCATGGCTGGCCAACCCATGCAGTACTCGTCTTTGTTCGGGCCTGTCGGTCCTCAGACTCTTGGACCACTGAGTTTCTACTCCTTCCTCAGAAAGTGGTTCGGTGCTTCGAACAAGGTAAGCTGACCCTCCTCATCGTCGTTCTTCTGAAACTAAAAAAATTCTTCGTACTCTCAGGCAGTACCTCATGAGATTTCGCTTTCGTTCACGACCCCTCAGCCTCACCGCAAGCCAGTGGACCGTCCCCTACCCCGTCCACCTGCACATCTTCCTAATGAACTCGTACTCGCCATCCTGGAAGCAGGTTACTCGTCTCATGACGGTGAGCCGGACCGCCAATTCCTTCAACAGTGCTCTCTAGTCTCGAAAGACTGGTCTGTCCTCGCTCAGCAACTTCTCTTCCGCGATGTTGTTCTCCGCACACAACCTGCGTATGCCTCTTTCAAACAGGCTGTCGATCAATCGACCGCCAGAGGACGTATGTTTGCGAACAGCGTCCGAACTTTACGTGTCACGCTCGATCATAACCATCCGCAATGCCTCACTGAGCGCGCCTTCGCACGGGCTGTCACTCTTGCTCCTAAGCTAGACACCTTGCGTGTTGCAGTTTATGGACAAGGCGCTCCCGGTCAAGATGTCATTGGTTCACCGGCAGAACACCGAATGCGTCGAGGCGCTCCGTCATTCGATGACAAGACCCTGGATATTCTTCGCACCCAAGGACCTCGGATCAAGTCTTTGCATTTTAACGATTGGTCGGATAACTCAACTTCGCTGGTCCAGCTTTTGGAAGTCTGGCCTTCAATTCGGGCTTTGGAGATCAGTGGCACTCCCCCTAATCTTCCTTCGCCTGCGCCCGAGCCTTGCCTTAGCAGACTCGACGAGCTTCGCTTTAATGCCCAAACGCCCCCGTCGATTGAGTTCCTGAAGTGGTTAACGCACAATTCCACGGAAACCTTGCGTGTCCTTGACCTTAGACGCGAGCCTAGTCATGATACCTTGGAATATCTCCTTGGAGAGCACAGTGGTACTATTGAATCACTGTCTGTTCCATCCGCACCAGCGGCGAAGGTCACCGTCAACCTTCTTGAGTGCCTCGCTCTCAAGGAATTGAGGGTCGAGAACACCAGGGCCGCACGGCAGATCTTCAGTTCGTTGCCTGAAGGCCTAGAGCATATGGCTCTCGGCGTTCACGAGGATGTATCTTTGCAGCCGGTCATTCAATTTATCAAGAAGAACAACACGTTGCAGACTCTTACGATGCATCTTTGGTATGGTGCTGAACACCATGATCAGCTCGCCGCTGTCAAGATCGCTTGTGCGGTCCGTGGTGTAAACCTGCGTATCTCCAACAATCTCCAACGGTTCCGTTCAGCTGCGGTAAGTTTCCACACCAATTGCCCAAAGAACCACCATCTTATTGTTCTCGCTTGACAGCCCCACAAGTCATGTGTCACTTGCCTCTGAGAAAACATCTAGCACACTCACCGTACATGAAACGATACCGAAACGACCCCCTCACGTTCATAGCTGTATCATAACGCCGCACCACACTCCATATCTGTACGATTGTACCCAACGCTCACATCTCATTTCTCCTCATACACACAGAAACACTGCATTCCCTAGTCTCTACACTCTCATCTCCTTGTGTTTCATTACGCTTCTAGTTCACCTGACGAACATTCATTCGCCTAACGTTCACACACCTTTCGGCTTCGGATTATTCTCACTTAATCACTTACCTCTTGATTGCATTGTCACACGTACACACTATACACTTTAATCCTTGATATGTGTACGGGAACTCTACTTCAGACCTTTAATCAGATTTCGTATTAGACATGATACGGTAACTTTCACTTTTACACTCGTCTCTAATTTGTTATTGCCTCTACACTCATCGTGTCGCCTTTATATACACGAATATTATCTGCTCTTAATATCATCTCGTACGTGCAGCACTTCAATATGCGGCTTGTCCTTGGCTGACGTATGGGAACCTTGGTGATCTTTGCTCCATAGAAGATTTTGGTCCCGAGATGGGTGTTTGTTGAACATCCCGACTATGGGCGTCCTTCGCTGAGGACCAATTTGATCGATAGCTTGCAACATATTTACAAATCATTCAATGAAACTTCGAACTTCGATCCAAAGTAGCTTCATATCTCGAGCGTTTTCATTCAAATTGTTTCATAACTGATCAAATAGGTATCAAAATCGTCCGCTCATTGACTCCCTCCCGTCGGTGTAATACCGAGCTCGAAAATCGAGGGTTCTATGCCATGACGACACGGACGAACAAGCATCAGAGACCAATGATGTGCTATGACATGCCGTCCAACCCCTGATATGCTGATATGAAGCACAGGCAGGCTATGCGCCACGTTATGATGCTCTTGCTTGGTACGAGGTGTAGTATTTTTAACCGACTCATATATAAATGCTGCTGAGGGAAGACGTCGGGTTTTCTTTGTCTGGTACCATCCCCATCAATTCCTCCCATAACTTCTACTTTTCTGCCTGGTGCTGAAAGTAGTTTTGCTGTTTCATTCACGACTGTCATCTTACGACTTACGACTTGTTCTGAACGATATACTTTCCTTGAAGTCTATTAACCTTTGAAGACCAATCCTTGAAGATGCAGTTGAAAGCTTTGATCGCCGCTGGCCTCGTCCCTGCTGCTATTGTCTGTGGCTTACCTGTTGAGAAGCGGTCTGATCCATGTATGTATAATATTCTCTTCATAGTGTTCAAGTGCTTACTTATGGCCATATACAGTCCAAGATCTCCTGGACTTCTTCTCCGGCGACCGTATGATGAAACACTTACTCTGAACCTGATTGAACATCGCTGATATCCCCTTTTAGTTGGTAGCATCGTAAACAAGAGTATGTTGCCTTTGTTTCATGCTTAATTCCCGATCAGATCTGACGCGATTCTCTCTGTAGTCAACCAAGGTGCCCTTAACGCACAGGGTTAGTCCCATAGTGCCTGTCTTAATTTGACATATTGACATAATTCTCCACAGCTTCACAGCAAGTGAGCAGTATCCTTCAAAGCGCACCGAACGGTGTAGGCGCAGCCGTCGTCAGTGCGTATCCACGTTTCCTCTTACGCAAACAACGAGTATAACGTAGATTACAGCGGGATCCAATGGTTTACCGCAAGTCGAGCTCACCTCCTTGAACGGACCAGTCATTACCTTGGCTAACGGACCCGGCGGTGTCACCACTACATTCGCCGGTCAAACTTATACCATCGTCACTGCGACTGCTCCAGCAACGACTTCATCAGGAGCTTCAAGCACATTTTCGACTTCCGCAAGCACCACTTCGTCACCCTTTGCATCTAGTACTTCCGCATCGACCTCGACTGGTTCAAGCTCTTCGGGGTCGAGCACGTCGTCGTCAGCTTCCGCATCGAGTACTACGTCAAGCTCATCAACATCGGGAAGTGCGTCGTCGACATCTAGTGACTCTTCAAGCACACACTCTGCGTAAGCGTTTGACTCGATATATTCTTTACCCTGGATCTGATCAGGTTTCCGTATTCAAGGGATCCCAAAAGCTTTGTCGCGGAAAACAAAAAGGATAACGGTGCTATGACCTTCGTGGTACCACTTATCAGTGTGGTTGCTGGTATTGTCACCGGTGGCTGGCTCGTGCTTTAGAGGAAGGAAGATATTTCGAACTAGATGTGGCCGGGTCTACTCTGACCTTATGTCATGTCATACAAGTTCAAGTCTACGGTTATGAATATACATCATGTTACGGGAGAATTATCAATTCTGCGTACCAGGCCAAACATACTACATGCTTGAAATGAGGAGGGATGAATAACACAATGGTGCGTGGCTGGTGGGGAGAACGCCTTGCATACGCCAAAAAGCTATGCCAGGACCGTGGATTGAACACGGGACCTCCAGAATACCACGATTTCGCAGCTTCAGTCTGTTGCTCTCCCAGCTGAGCTATCCCGGCGATGCAAATGATTTTCTAGAAATCATCTCCAGTATCACCAGACCAACGTCGAGTGAATAGCCTCAGTACTCGAAACAGAGAAGCTCTATGACAGTCACAGCAAAGTTGTAGGTATCAAACGGTCCAGAAGTGTATTTACCATTACATTATACAAGTTGTCATATTCATGAGATGGTATGTAAGATATTGGTATTAGAAACAGAAAGTTTGGGGACCCATACTAACGTGCGTTCATGTCGCAAAGTCGTGTAAATCACGGACTCGGGCTGGCGACTTTACCTGGAGATATGTCAGAGATAGACGGAGGGTGGTTTCCACCTTCACCCTCTGTACTAGGTTGTGACATAACTTCGTCATCGTCTCGTGGGGAATCCGGCCCTGCACCGTTCTCGATTATCGCCTTCAAAATAGAGGCAGCTTCCGCATTCATCTTTTCGTCCTCTGATACACCATCGCTCGGACTCTTGGGTACTGAACTGTTTGGTCGTGAGGAGGCTCCCGCACTATATGAAGGACTACTTCGGGATCGATGTTGGCGTGATTTCTCGATAGGAGAGGGACTGGATTCTTCGCTTGATATGTCCCCGTCGGAGTAATGGGAAGGTCGCGGGGGTGGTGGGAGTGGGGTAATAGGCGCACCCGTGACAGTCGATAGAGGTGGATGTACAGTGTAGGGTATATGTGGTGGTGGGTAATGAGGAAGATACTCCGAATACATGTGGTGAGGCGGCAATGATGAGGGCATTACGTGGGAACGATAATACGGTGAGGGTTGTGGGTAATACGGCGGGACTGGGTATCCAGGAGGTAACGGTGAACCATCAGGGCCCCATGCAGTATGAGGAGGTGTCCAAGTCGGGTGTTGGAGACGAGCGGCGGATGTAGGAATTGCGACTTGGGGTGGGTAGTTTGGATCTAACATCACCGGTGGTGGCCTAGGGGGTGGGTAGCCTATGATAAAGTGAGAAACATAGCCTTCTAGACAATCCAACAATAACGCGAACCTATGTGCATAGTATGGGGGCGATAATAACTTGAGGATCTAGAGGATGTACTTGTAGATGGCGCAGGAGGTCTAGGTTCGGAGCCTTCGCGATCTGAAGAATTGCTTTCGGCTGGTGAGCCACTACGACTCGAAGACCTTGATCCAGAAGGACCAGCTTCATGCGGTGAGGGTTCATCATCTTCAACTTCTGGAATTGTATCGGTAGGTTCGATAACTACCCCATTATGTCTGTGTGAGAGACATAATTATTATCGTAATTTGAGATTGACTTTAGGAACCAACCTTGATTTCTGATGTCGGCGCAATGCGTCGGTCTGGTACAAAAGGTTGATATGAACACATGTCTTCAATGGATTAAGACGATACACACCCGTGTGAAAGTAGCGTCGCATTGTGGGCATTGACTGAAACATAAAGTCATCATCCATAAACCTATACGGGTGAATTATGTGAGGACTTACAAACCGGGTGCGGTATGAGTCTTGGTCGTTCGCTGATGTCTCTTCAGGTCCGCTTCACGGGCAAATACTTTCGAGCAACCTGTAATCTTACATGGCCAGGAGACAGCTTCACCGGATTTCTTCTTTGCGACCGAAGAGGCTTTCTTCCTGGGTGCGTCTTTACTACCCTGTGGCTGCAATACTGAATCAGCCACCGGTGGCTGAACCTCGTCAATTAGAAATTGAAATGTCTATGCTCACCGTTTTCTGAACGTGAGCTTTCACCATCGATAAGCCAGAGGACTCTATTCCAACTCCGCGGTAATTAGCTATGAGTAGGGTATCCAATTTACAGTATCAAGCGGTTTGGCGGCATACACGGTGTGGCTGCAGAGTGGCTGAGAGAACTCAGAGTGGCGCTGCAATCGTGACGTTTCTCCGTCCGGGTCACATTTGTGTGACCGGTCATATGGATGTTATTTCGTGCACAGCCTCAAAAAACACACAAAACCTAAGGTATTTTATATGAGCCAAAAATGGTGAGTAGTCTACATCGTGATGCTGTTGAGAGTACTAGATGATACAATTGCATATGATTTCATTTCACGAGAATGCTGTTGAAAGCATGGGTATAGACAGCCGCCGAATGAAACGTTTAGTGATTTATTTAGAGAACTTGCACTTTGGGCCAGGTGTAGGTAGGACCGACCTAGGAACGGTTTACTTAGTGAAACAACCCTAGAGCTATTACTCAAAATGAAACGTACATTCTTGACGCACATGGCCCCGAGCTTGTGACCAGCCTCGACACACTCGTCAATGCTCTTTCCAAGCACAAAGGCACCGATGAATCCACCTGCGAAAGCATCACCAGCACCGTTGGTATCAACGATCTCCTCTTCCTTCAGAGGGTGGACAGCGAACTCCTTGGGCTCATCTGGCGAAGCAGATGAAACGACAGTGGTGCTCTTAGGACCGTGGGTAATGACAACGATACGAGGGCGAGCGGGGTTGGCTTTGGGTTGAATCGCAATAGCTCGTGCAATCGCCTTGAGATCAGTCTTATCAGGTTGTCCGGTAGCACTTGCCCATGCCTCGGCTTCGGCTTCGTTGCCAAAGACGATGTCAGTGAATGGCAAGAGTTGTTGAAGTTGGACGCCAAAGAATTGAGGAATGAAGGGGGCACTGAGGTTGATTGAAAAGACCTGAAGTTACCAGTCAATTAGTTTCAGCACCCGTAAGGTTACAGCAATACTGACCTTGCTTGCTTCGGAAGACTTCTTGGCAAGTTCAAGGGCAGATTCGGCACCATGCGTCAAGAAGTAGCCTTCCAAGTAGTAGACCTTGGCAGCTTCGACAAGAGGAGCGACCTCGGGAGAGGACAAGTGTGACTTATCGAATTTTTCGGCGACACGGAGAGTGGTAACGAGAGAGCTGTGAACATTTTATTAGTGGATGAATGATGCGAATTTCGATTTTCCAACAAACCGGTCGTGTCCAGTGATGATAACAGCACAGGCACCGGTCTTCTCGCCTTTCTTGACCAAGTAGACCTGGTCAAGGCCTTCACGCTTATTGGCGTCCTTGAGTTGCTCAGCGAGATCATCGTCGCCGACACAGCCAGTGTATACGACAGATCCAGGAGGCAAAACATACTATATGCGTCTAATCAATTTCACATTCCGTATCATGAAGGATACATAGTACGTACCGCAGCTCCTCGAGCAGCATTTTGAGCAGCACCGCCAGCAACATAGGTCACCTTGTGGCTCTTTACGATCTCCTCGTAGCTAAAAATGTATCCTCAATCTCAGGTCTTTTCCGGCAATGGTCTAGTTACTTACAGTGGGACGTGCTTCTCGTCCGCCAAGATGGCATCGTTAGCCTTGAGATCATACTTCTTCAAGAGGTCTTCAGCATTATTGACCTGCATATCAAGCAGGGGGTTCCCCATGCAGAAAAGTTGATATGTCGACATTTTAATAGATATCGAGGATACTTTCGTGGAGGGTCAAAGGAAAGAGAGGATGATCGGAATCGAGAGATCATCGCTGTATAACAAGTGGATAAGATTAGATCAATCATTACGTCCCTGCGGTGGCACTTGACTCAATGGTCGTACTGCCATGTACTCAATATTGAAACATTCAAAAGGGCGTGGCAAATGATATATTGTCAACGTGTTGGGTCTACGAGTCGATTGAAAGAAATTTGACCCCGGGTCCAATGCTCATTCCCAGTAATGAAATCACCTCGCACTATCTTTCCTCTTCTGACGACCTTCCCATCCCTCTCCAATTTGACATACACACCTTCCAATCTCCCGTCAGTGAAGTGTGACTCCCGTTGGACCATTGCACATAGCTCAGCTTCAGAGAGCATGCTACCCTCATACAATACAGGAACTACGGCAATGTTTGTGTCGTTAAGTATTGAAGAAAGGGTATGCCTATCCGCCCATTGCGCTGTTGTACGGTCGTAGAGATCGAAAGCCATAAACAAATCTGGAAGTTTGTTATAGGCAATTGAATGCGTGGCTGCAAGCCATTCGCCGAATAAAATATACCGTTGTGGGAAGTAAGAGTCTCGATTCAGCACCTTGAACAGACCTTCCCTGTGAGTTTCTACCCACAGATCGAGTTTTTTGAATTGTACATGACTCGCCGAGTTCACATAGTGTGAACGGTTCTGAATTACAATCCTGGATCTGTCCTCAGATAACGAGAAGCCCATGTTTGCACCATCTACTTTCTCCGTAATGACGACATGTGAATGGTCCCTCGAGTCAAGTGAGAGATTCGAGAGGTTACTGACAAGATCATCCTCTGTGACCGCTCCGAGATTGATGAGATGCTCCGTACGAGGGAACTTGAACAAGGTAACAGGAGAGACTCTCAATATAAATTCCTCTGCCGCAGAGAATGATCGAATCCTAAGGATAGCGGTGAATCCTTCCGATAATGATGGCTTGACGAACATATCCGTCATCTGCTCAATTGCCTTCCTCACACGACCCCCGGGAGGTAGGGTCGGATGCCCTGCACGGTTCTGGGCACGATGCGTGCACAAGTCCCTATCGTAGTCGAACCAGACGCAAACCGGCGAAACAGCCCAATGCGATGCCAACGCCAGCCACGCTTTACGATCGTTCGCAGATGTATTACATCGGTTCAATATAAGCCGACCTCTGCCGTTGAATCTACCAACGACATTTTCGCAGGTTGAACGGCCGCCACTCTCGTCTTGGGATACCCGCGTCCATGCCTTTGGGCTCCTTGTCCAGAGAGCTTGGGAAACCCACGACTTTCCTGAGCCAGGTAAGCCAACGAAGATGAATAGGTTAGAATCGGGCTTGAGACTGCCTTCGACCTCAAGCGAGCAAGGCGGGGGTTCTGAGACGATGGAAGGGAAGACGGAACGTCGCTTCCAAATGGTGCTGCACCATTTTGCGACGAATTCCTCCTGTTGTGTTGTCTCCAGGCTTCCAGGCCGCACGAGTCGAAGAGTAGATATTGCAGTTGACGCAGACATTGCTGGTTCAGTAGGTGTCGTGT